GTGAAGAGCAGCTAGCCAGGTCCTTTCCAACAGTGCTAAGAGCCCCTATTGTCCCCAGAGTCATCCGCTTCGCTGAGGATATGTTGGAGAAGGACCTCAGAGATAACCGGAACATCGGGGACTTCGGAGCCCGCCACCTCCTGGAGCACGCCAATCCCAGGGGTGGCAAGGTGACCGTGCTGACCCACTGTAACACTGGCGCTCTGGCTACCGCTGGCTATGGTACAGCCCTAGGTGAGGCAGCACTGTCAATTGTTAGGGCATGGGAGGGTCTTCTTGGGGTGCAAGGCAAACCACCTTGAGCTTGGAGTATTGTTCAATGGCAAGAGTACCTGCTTAGCTGTGACTGGGTCCGCAGTTAAGGAGTTGGACTGCTGAGCCAGGTGGTGGTGGCGGGGGCAGGCTTTTAATTCCAACACTAGGGAGGCAGAGACAGGCCAGTCTCTGTGAGTTCAAGGCCAGCCTGGTCTACACAGCAAATTCCAGGGCAGGCTCTAAAGCTACAGAGAAACCCTGTACTCAAATTACTTTAGCCACAAAAATGTGGATTTGGTTTTTTTTCAAATACTGTTTTTGTGTATATGTATACCACACATGTGTCTGGTGACCAGGGAAGACAAAAGATGGTGGTGGATCCTCTGAAGCTGGAGTTAAAGGTGGTTGTGTGCCTCCACGTGGATGTTAGGAACCAAGTCAGGCCCACTGTGAGAACAGCAAGTGCTCTTAACCACTGAGCCGTCTCTCCAGCCCAGGACATTAATTTGTTGTTGTTGTTCTCCCTACCCCTGTATATTAGTTTCTGTACACAGACACTGGGAAGTTGTTTGCAGGTGTGGGTATATCAAGGAGTTCAACCAATGGCGTTAGGACACTATCCCTCATTTTGCCCATGGATTGAAGTAGTTCTGCTATCAGAGACTGGAAACGTCCCTGGGTCACCTGCCTAACTTTGGCCACATGCCTGGAGAAGGGGCATGGTGTTGATTTCCAGAGGACTGGAAACAGAGAGACATACCCTGAGTAGGACTGGGGAAGCTGTGACCAGGACAAGGACATAGGGATTTGGGAATCAAAGCAGTAGAGTTGTCCTGGCCCTTGGCTGTCCAGGAAGCTCTCCTCTCTGCCTAAACCCAGCACTGGCTCTTGGGAACCCAGGTCTTCAGAACAAGGCTCATGTGTCCCGTTCATTGACTCTGCCAACATTCACCAAGCAACTACTAACTTTCAGGGAGTGGAAACACAACTGTGAACTGCGGAAGAGATGCCAGGCGTCTGCAGCCTGGAGTACAAAGGTCTTAGAGGTATAGGTCAGTAGTGGGGCACCGCTGAGCATCCTCCACTAAGGAACTGGGTGTGTGACTCAGCTGTAAGCACCTGCTGCCCAGATGCAATGCCATGGGTTCCATCCATCCCCAACACTGCAGAACAAACAAAAACTAAATTATTGGAAGGTACTAAAGCCCCTCAACAGGCTGGGGCAAGAAGATCATATTTGAAGGGTTAATCAGAGTCACATAGCAAGACCCTATCTCAACAGTGTTGAACATCCTAAATGACAAGGACAGGGCAGGGACAGAGTGGTGGGGCTGCCATGTGAGACTGAGGAATCTCGGAGTATCAGAAAGTAGATATAAAGATGATATGAGTCAGGCACAGGGAATAGCTGCAGCAAAGGCTGAAAGCCGTAAGAGCCTCAGCACTCGCAGCCCAGTCTCAGGGCCACCCTGCCTGTCTTCTGGTATGCCCCGCAGGTGTGATCCGCTCCCTACATGAGATGGGCCGATTGGAGCACACCTTCTGCACAGAGACCCGGCCCTACAACCAGGGAGCCCGGCTGACAGCCTTCGAGCTGGTGTATGAGCAGATTCCTGCTACTCTCATCACGGACAGCATGGCCGCCGCTGCCATGGCGCACCAGGGTGTATCAGGTCAGTGGGCTGGGCACAATGGGATGGGCTGGGTAGTGCTGTGGGCATCCCAAGCCAGGTATGTGACATTTTCAACTCTCCCCCACTCCCCCAGCTGTGGTAGTGGGAGCTGACCGTGTCGTTGCCAATGGAGACACAGCCAACAAAATAGGCACATACCAGCTGGCCATTGTCGCCAAGCACCATGGTATCCCCTTCTATGTGGCTGCCCCCAGCTCATCCTGTGACCTCCATCTGGAGACTGGCAAGGAGATTGTCATAGAGGAACGCCCTAGCCAGGAGCTGACTGACCTGAATGGAATCAGGATTGCGGCACAGGGTAAGGTGTGGGTGTGTTGTGGGCTTCAGTGGCGGGAGCTGCTCTGCTCATTCAAGCTCCCCAGCAGGATTCTGGTGGTGGAGGTTAAATTCGAGGTCAGACTTTCTAAATGGTGCTTGGTGGCTGGAAATGGAGCTCAGTAGGTAGAGTGTTGAGGTGGGGACTTAAATTTTGTGCCCAGAACCAACTCTTTAAAAAGACAACTGTGGTGGCACAGGTGTCCTTTTGTTTGTTTTTGTTTTTATTTATTGACACGGGGTTTCTCTGAGTAGATAGCCTTGACTGTTCTGAAACTTACTTTGTAGACCAGTATAACCTTGAACTCACAGAGATCTGTCTGCCTGCCTCTGCCTCCCAAATCCTAGGATTAAAGGCACTCTCCACTGCCCAGTTAGCACAGGTTGGTTGGTTGGTTGGTTGGTTGGTTGGTTGGTTGGTTTTTCGAGACAGGGTTTCTCTGTGTATCTTTGACTGTCCTGGAACTCACTCTGTAGACCAGGCTGGCCTTGAACTCATAGAGATCCACCTACCTCTGCTTCTGGGTGCTGGGATTAAAGGCCTTTGCAGCCACACCCGGTTTATGGCACAGGTTTATAATCCCAGTGCTGGGGAGAAAGAGAAGGCAGATCCCTGGAGCTTCTAGCCAGCCAGTCCAGGTTCAGTGAGAGACCCTGTCTCAAACGGTAAACTGGATGGTTCCTGAAGAACCAAAGCTGAGGTTGGCTGCTAACCTCTATAGGCCAGAGCACACGCGCGCACACACACAGTGCTGGAGTGGTGGTGTAACCCTGTAAGCCCAGCATTCCGGAAGCCCAGGCAAGAGAGCCACACAGGCTCAAGCAAGGTGGTATAAGTGAATTTCAGGCTAGTGTGTTCTGCCAGGTGAGGCACTGTCTGAAACACCAAAAACAATCAGAAAAGCATAAAACCAGCAAGTCTCTGCCTAAACAAACATCTACATAGACAGCCAGGGATGATGGGACATAGCAGGGCTCCCAGCATTGGACTGAGGCAGGAGGGCTGCTGAGAGTTCAGGATTGTCCTGGGCTACACAGTGAGACCCTATCTCAAAAATCAGAAAGAGCCAGGTAGTGGTGGCACGCACCTTTGATCCCAGCACTTGGGAGGCAGAGGCAGGCAGGTCTCTGAGTTTGAGGCCAGCCTGGTCTACAGAGTGAGTTCCAGAACAGGCTCCAAAGTTACAGAGAAGCCCTGTCTCGGAAAATAAAATAAAGACTAGCTTAGTCAACCCAAACTGTCTCAAAATAAACATTTTCAAAGGGACCAAGGATGCAACTAAGACATAGAATACTTGCCAGAATGCACAAGGCCTGAGATTCCAATATACAGCAAAAACTTTTTACATTAAACATAATCAAAATATATTGTATACACATAAGAAAGTCTTAAAGAATAAACAAGATATTTTCAAGTAAGTTGCTGATCTCGGTGGTATACACCTGATGAACCTAGGAGGTAGAGGCAGGAAGACAAGGACTTCAAAACCAGCCTCAGCTACATAGAAAATTTGAGGCCAGCCCAACCTATGTGCATGACCTTGTGTTAGACAAGTAATAACATATTCTTAAAATTGACTTCCAAAACATCTCTGAAGAGCTCTGTCCCATGCTCAGAGCCCCAAAAAACAGATGTAACAGGAAATCACACCCACATTTGAGTCAATGCAAAAGCCCTGGGGTAGATTCTGAAATTCTTAAAATCTTTGAAGCAGACAAGATTGGGGACCATAAGGCTGAGGCCTTCTTGAGCAGCAGGAACCGTGGCTGTGTTCCTGGCCTCAGTACCTGCACCGTTATGAACTATTTGGTATGGTGAATGCCTAGATTCTCAAGGACTTTCTAACTCCAAGAATTGCTGTGGTGAGAGCTGGGCAGTGGTGGCACACATCTTTAATCCCAGGCAGAGGCAGACGGATCTCTGTGAGTTCAAGGCCAGCCTGGTCTGCAGAGTGAGTTCCAGAACAGGCTCCAAAGTTACAGAGAAACCCTGTCTCGAAAAACAAACAAAAAGAATTGCTGTGGTAAGGACAGGCAACAGCAGCCAGGGTGTCCTCAGGGCCAGCCCACCTTTTACATGCCCTCCCTCTCTCCCTGCAGGAATCCGGGTTTGGAATCCTGCCTTTGATGTCACCCCCCATGAACTCATCACTGGTGGCATCATCACTGAGCTGGGTGTCTTTGCCCCTGAGGAGCTCCGAGCAGCCCTAAGTGCCTCCATCTTCTCAGAGGGACAGACCCTAGGTAGTCCCCAGATGTGACTCCCCGACTTTCCCTGGTTCCTCTGATTTTGTAATAAAGTTTTCAAATGGCTACCCCAAAGCTCATCCTCAGCCATACCTCTCCTCCAGCTGCTAGAGCAGACTGGATTTACCCAGCTCTGCAGAGTCCCAGCATCCACAACAAAGCTACCCACGTTCACATTCCAGCTCTATCCTTTGTATAACCGATGCCAAGGCAGGTGTCAGGGGGTACACACCTGTAATCCCAGCTCCTGGGAAGCTGAGGCTGGAGGATTTCTTTGTGTTTTAGGCTACCCTGGGCTATGAATTGAAAAGAAACACGAAACTGAAAACCAATGTAGGGATAATCAGAATGATCTTGGCTGTCTTTGAGCTACTTGTTTTGATTTTTTTTTTTCCAAGACAGGATTTTTCTAGGTCACCTTGGATGTCCTGGAACTCGTGGACCATGCTGGCCTTGAATTCACAAAGATCCTGTCTGCCTCTGCCTCCTGAGTCTGGGATTAAAGGCGTGCATCCCTACCACCTGGCCATTTATTTCATGTGTGAGTGCTTTACTTGCAAGTGCCTGGTGGCCTCTAAGGCCAGAAAAAAAGCACTGGATCCTCTGGGCCTGGAGTTATTGATGGTTGTGAGCTGCCATGTGGGTGCTGGGAACAGAACCCAGGTCCTCTCTGCAAGAGCAACAAGTGCTCTAAGAGAGGACACCAAAGTTCAGTAATCAAGATAAATGTCTTTTTAAGAAGTGCATCTTTGTGTATCCCTGGCTGTCCTGGAACTCCCAGAGGCCCTCCTGCCTCTGCCTCCTGAGCAAAGGGTCAAAAGTGTGAGCCACTACAACCTGGTTTGCTTTCATTTTTTGAGAGTATCTGAACCTGGAACTCCACAATTAGGCGAGGCTACAAGGACTCTCCTGTCTTCAGCCTCCTCAGCACTGGGATTGAGGTATGTGCACGGTCACTTATTGAGGATGGAACTCAGGTCCTCATGCATGAACGGTAAGCACTTCACCTGCTGAGTGATAATCCCAACCACCAGACACATTTTAAATCTTTTAATATCGAAAAGAAGCTGGGTGGTGGTGGCACATGCCTTTAATCCCAGCACTCAGGAGACAAAGGCAGCAGGATATCTGAGTGCGAGGTCTGCCTGGTCTACAAAGTGAGTTCTAGACAGTTAGGTCTTACACAGAGAAGCCCTGTCTCAGAAACCCAAATAAAAACCAGAGAGGTGGTGGCGCGTGCCTTTAATCCCCCAAGCACTCAGCAGGCAGAGGTAGGCAGATCTCTGAGTCCGGGGCCAGCCTGGTCTACAAAAACTAGTTCTAGGACAGGCTCCAAAGCTACAGAGAAACCCAGTCTCGGGGGGAAAAAACAAAAACAAATATATATAATTATTGAAAAGAACATAGCTGATGCTGTGACTGTGACAGCTTTTGTGCTGGAACTGTGAGGCTAAGAGCCATCGCAGCACAACTGCAAAATTAATGTATCATGATAACCTAAGGGTTCAGTGACGTGTTTATTTTTTATTATGTGTGTGAATGTGGTTAAAAGACAATCTGAAGGAGTCAATTCTCTGACTGATTAAGCGAATGCACCACCACCCAGGATTGAACCGAGGTTATTTGGCAGCAAGCACCTTCACCTCCAGGGCCATCTCCCCAATAACTACTGAAGTTTTTTGGCACCCTCTTAATTTTCCACCTTGCTTGCCTCACCCCAAGCCTAATTTGAACTTTTATGTATAAGAAGCACAAACCATCGTATTTTATAATACATAGGTGTCCTGGCCCCTGAAAATGGTAACATAATTTTTCTTAAATTTTTGGGCAGCCAGTCCTCTAAGAGTTCCCCTCTGGGTCCACTGAGGCCTTAAGGGCCCTACTGTAGACAGTGACGTCATGCGAGTTCCGGCTTTCCTGCACGTTGCCCCGCCTTTTCCGGCTCGTGGTACAACATGGCGCAGGGACAGCGCAAGTTCCAGGCGCGGAAACCGAAAAGCAAGGCGGCGGCTACGGAGCGGAGCCGAGGGCCGAGGAAAGGCGGTGAGGACCCGGGTGGGAAGAAGGGCGCGAGGGCAGCGGAGCTTGGGGAGGGCGGCCACGTCTCACTGGCTGGTGTCACTCCGCAGGTCGAGTCATCGCTCCGAAGAAGGCGCGCGTCGTGCAGCAGCAAAAGCTGAAGAAGGTGAGTGGAACGCAACGGTGGGTGACCCGGGATGGGAGCGGGCGGAGGGGACTCCCGGTTCCGAGTCAGTGTCCTCCCTTGTTCGGTGGTTCCCGACCCGCGCTTAGCTTCTGAGGGGTTCAGATGTGTGTTAAGGACTGTCAGCCGGTAGCCTCGGGTTTTGTGTTTATTTTTTATGTGTATTAGTGTTTTACCTTTGTGTGTGCCTGGTATCCGAAGAGATCAGAAGAGGATGTCCAATCCCCCAGAATTAGAGTTACTGATGATTTTGAGCCGTCAAGTGTGTTCTGGGAACTGAACGGTGGTCTTAGGGATCACAAGCGCTGAAGGCGGACCTGGTATCGCACGCCTTTGATCCTAACACTCTTTGGCAGATCCGGGCTGATCTCTGAATTCAAGGCCAACTTAGTATAATTATGTGTGTGGGTAGGTGTGTGCCCATGCCCAGAGAGGCCAGAAGTACTGGCTGCTTTTCTACAGGATCTCAATTCAGTTTCTAGCACCCACATGGCAGCTCACAATCGCCTTTAACAATCCCAGGGGATCTCCAATGTCATATTCTACAGGCACTGCATGTATGTGGTACACAGATATATATGTGAGCAAAACATTTGTATATATAAATGAAAAATTAATTAGGAAAATTAGAGGCTCTAATCTGGCTTAATCTTGAATAGATCATTCTGTCTTCCCAGATATCTCCTAGGCAGGTTACCCAGAAGCCTACTCTGCTCCATGAGGTACCCACTCTCGGGTCCTTAAGTGAGTTCCCCCCACAGTCTGCCGCGTGACCACTTTGCCTTCCCACATTCAGAGGTCATCCTTGAACTCTGCTCCTACCCAGTCTAGTCCCTTTAGCATACATCCAGAATCCCACCTACTTCTGCCCCATCACCTCTCATTCACCTTTCAGGTTGGACCCTAGTCGACTTTATCCTCTCCTGCTATAGCTGCTGAGATATCTGCCTCTGCCCATAACCCTCCATGGCTGCTTCCTGCTCAGCAAAAGCCCTAGTTCTTTGTCTCCATCCTCATTGCCTTCATCCTTTCTTCTGTCGTTCTGGCCTTACTGGCCCTTTAAGAAATCTTTGTCCCACTGCTAGACGTGTTCTTTTGACCTGAGCATGGTAGTACCCTGGCCCGTAGTGTTAAGTCAGGGCAAGGGAAGCTTGAATCTGAAGCCGTTCTCAAAGACCAAAAGGAAGGGTTTGTGTGTGTGTGTTCAAGCTGGGGAGAATGAGGGCTTGCTCTGTGTCCCCCACAGAGTCTGGAAGTGGGGATCCGGAAGAAGATTGAGCATGACGTGGTGATGAAGGCCAACTCCAACCTGCCTAAGAAGCTCACACTGCTGAAGGGTGCAGCAAAGAAGACAGGGGCCACCACCTCCAACAAGGCACCATCCTGAGGACTGGGACTTTGCACGTGACTCCACAGGCTGGCCAGACTAGAAGAGGACCCTGTTCCATTTCTGATGGCACCTGGGACAGCAATGGGCAGGTGATGATAAAGCTGGAAGCCAAATCCTGGTGCTGAAGAGGCATTGGAGTTCCTGTGGGTGACACGTTGTAATGAACCTGGCTCTGTTGTCCCGCCGGCTCTCAAACACTTCAATGGGGAGGCCATTTGGAGGCTAGGTGAGCCTCACTGGTCTCCGCAAGAAACTTCTCCCACCCATGCAGTGCCCTTGACAGCCACAGACCCCAATAAAGCTGTGCTCGCAGAGGCTGTGTGCCGTTCTTGTGCTTTCTGCACGCACGTCTTGGGCGTGCTACCTACTGGCACTCTGGAACCGGGACCTGGTCAGCCCAGCCACCCTTCTCCATAGCACAGCTCTGCTGTCCAGTGAGGGGCTCACACCCCTGGCAGTCACTCAAACCTGTTGGACCAGATGTTGAAATCTTCTATGCAGGATGCTGGACATGGTGCCATGTTTCTTGGTGTGGTCCTGGGACAAGCGATGAGTACGCTGGTGGCCTATTCATTCCTTTATGCCCTGCCGTTTCACCTACTGAGGAAGCAGAAAAGTGGGGGTTCACTAGTGACTGCCCCAAGCCCTGACTGGGTGAATTTGTTACCAGACAGTTGGAATTTAATGTTAAGACTGTCTAATGCTCCCGTGTTGGCTTCTGGCTCACCGTGGGTGCTAGGGATCAGATCCACTTATGTGTGCTTAGCAAGCTGTCTGAGCCACACCCTAGTCTAAGCTCCCAATGCACTTGCAAGGCAAAGGAAGGGCCTGCTGGACTTCAGTCCTGCCAGGACACAGATGCTCTGCTCTGAGCACGGAGGGCACCTTTAGAGGCTGTGGCTTACTTCAAGGCTGGACCTTGAAGGGCTGGTTAGTGCCTCTGGCTTGTGGTGAAGCACCTCACCACAGATCCCGAGAAATGGGTCTGTCCCATTGTGGATACAGAACCAGGAGCTTATCGATGGCCTTCCTTGGGTTTAGTTTGGTTTTCTGAGTCAGGGTCTCCCTGTGTAGCCCTAGCTGGCTTAGGACTCACTGTGTAAATCGGGCGGGCCTCAAACTCAGCTGTACCTGCTTCTGCCTCCCAGGTTCTGAGATTAAAGGGCAAGGGGAAGTGTTATTGTGTATGTGTTTATGTGCACATGAGTCTGGGTGTCTGAGGGGCCAGAGGCAGCCTATGCTCTGAAGCTGGAATAGGGCAGCCGTGAGCCACCCTACATGGGTGTAAGGAGTGGAAGCCATTAGCTGCTGAGCTCGCGCTCTAGCCCTGCAGGTGCTTTGTGGTGGGAAGACTAAGATGGCTGGGTTTAGAAGCATACGCCTTTAATCCCAACACTCAGTAGGTAAAGGCAGTTAGTCCTCTGAGTTCAAGACCAGCCAGGGGAGGAGGTGTCCAAGCAGTCTAGGGCTGCATAGACCCTCTCTCAGAAAAAAAAAGAGAAAAACTCGGGATAGATGGACTTGGTGGTCGACTGACCTAGTGGGCAGCAGCTCTTTGTATCTAGCTGGCATTTGCAGCAGAATGATGCAGGAGACAGTGGCTGTCTAATGACCACCCCGACTGACCTGCACTATGGAAGTCAGGGTGGAAGACCATGTCCCAGTATGTGAACCCCTGAGGTACCTGTCACCAGCAAGCTCCAGTCCAAGCCTTCCCATGTGTGCCAGGCAACAGCAGGCAGCAGCAGCACCCCAGGGAGCTTCTGGTGACCTGAGCAGCTGCTGAGTTCTCAGACTCTGGCATTGAGGTGGCCACTGAGTGACTACTCAGCTGCTGTCATGTAAACTAATCCAGTAAATGTCCCGTCGTGTTATATTCTGTTGGTTCCCCCAGAGCACCCTGCAGAGCAAACATTCCATGGCTGCTTGTACCAGTGTTGATAGAACACTTTACACTAGCACTGAGGCAGAGACCTGCCTTTGCAGTAATGCCTGAACAAGAATCTGCTCCAGCCGCAGTGGGAATTCAGCCATAAAAATGGGATGGCTTTCATTCTGTAGATTGGGGGGGAGGGGGGCGGAATGGTAATGACTCCAGGCAGTGGTGGCCTTTAATCCCAGCACTTGGGAGGCAGAGGCAGGTAGAGCTCTGTAAATGGAGACTGCATTTTTGTTTCCCTGATGCCCAGACCCTAATAATCGCACAGGAACTATGATTACAACACTGTTTGGCCAATGGGTCAGACACATTTCTAGCTAGCTCTTACATTTTAACTCATTTCTATTAGTCTATGTATTGCCATGTGGCTGTGGGATAACTCATTTTCTACATGTCTTGCTTCCTCAGAGACTGACTGGTTTTTTTTGTTTGTTTGTTTATTTGTTTGTTTTTCAAAGAAAGGTTTCTCTGTAGCTTTGGGGTCTGTTCTAGAGATCCTCAGAGGCTGAGTGGTATCTACCTGGCTACCTTCTTTCTCCTCTATCTCTGCTTGGATTTCCTGCCTTGCTGTATTCTGCCCTGCCATAGGCCAAAGCAGTTCTTTATTAACCAATGGTAATAAAACATTCACAGCATACAGAGGGGAATCCCACATCAGATCTCTGAGTTCAAGGTCGACCTGGTCTACTACGAAGTCTAGGACAGGCTCCAAAGCTACACAGAGAAACCTTGTCACAAAGAACAAAAAAAAAAAAAAAAAAAAAGGAATGGGGGTTGGGCTGGAAAATATCTCAATGGGTAAAAATTTACCACCAGATTTGACCACCTGAGTTCAGTTCCCAAAGGCCAGGTAGGGAAGAGAAGAAGTTGTCCTCTGACCCGCACGCCTGCACCATGGCCTGCACAGGCTCACGCACTCACATCGTAAGTAAGTGCAAATAAAGGTGAAATGAAGGCTGGGGAAGATGACTCGGTTGGTTGGTTGAGAGCGCCTGCTGCTGTAGCAGAGGACCCAGGTCAGCTCCCAGCACCCACAGCAGTTCACAGCGCCTGTAACTCCAGTGTCCTTGTTCCTCCATGGGCACTCCATGCAAACAGTGTGCTCATGTGCATGAAGACATTAAAAATCTTTGAAGTGTACCAGGTGTACATGCCTTTGAGTCCAGCGCTGGAAGGCAGCGCCAGGTGGATTTCTGTGCGTCCAAAGCCAGCCAGGGCTACATGGAAAGACCCTGTTTCCCACCTCTCCCCCCCCCCAAAAAAAGATGAAATAAAAGTGCTGATCCAGGCTACAGCACAGATGAGCCCCGGAAACGCAGTGCTGATGCTGGGTATTGTGCTTACACACCTATAAATAAACTCAGCACTCAGGGAAAAGAAGGAAAACCAAGAAAATTAAGATCAGCCTCCACTAAATGGTTCAAGGCTAACCTGAGCTACTCATGACTTTGCTAAAGAAAAAAAAATTTTAAATGGTCTGGTGGTGCATTCTTTAGTCCCAGGGCTCAGGAGGCAGAGGCAACTCTGAAGTTGCCCTTGTAACAAGCCAGACGCAGAAGGAGAAATAGGTACGGTTCTATGAAGGGCAGAGCAGGCAGGTGGCTGCCTGGGTGAAGAGAGGCATGGTGGTGGGTAAACACGGTTTCCTCCTGGCCTGAAGGTTCTGAAACTAAACAGGTGAGCATTCTGTTATTGGGAATGTACTGACCATGGCAAAAGTCTTTTACGATAGGTGAACTTATGCTAGGCTTACTAGCTTGATGTCTGACATCAACAGCTCCTCTGGAGTCCCCATGCAGACTGCAGAACACCTCATCCTCACCTAGAAAGACTGGCAAACCAAGGGCTTGCAGGGTGCCTGTGACTATGGAAGACTATAGACTTACTTAAAATGAACTAAGAAACGTTTGGGAATGGATAATTCAGGACCATCCTCACAGTCAAACAAGATCACACTGGCTCTGTGTACACACACATTTTTAACATCCCTACCTCCAAAAACTGTAGCCATGATGGTAGTGGGCACCTGTAAACCTGCACTTAGAGGGCTGAAGCAGGAAGATCACCTGCAGTGTGAGGCCTGCCAGGTCAGCCTGGGCTATAGAGTTAAGACTATCCAAACGCCAAGAGCTGGGATGTCAATGGTAGAGAGCTTGCCTGCCTCTGGCAAGGCCCTCGGTCCCATCCCAGCACCACGCAAAGGAAAGAAGGGTGAGAGCTGGTCAGCATTCCAGGGGTCTGCCTTCTGGCTCCTGGGTTCTTGTGCACCAGGAATTTTGAACTGAAAAAAGACCCAGACTCCTGGGAATGGAGCTCCATAGGGGTCAACCTCTTTCCTCCCCTGTCCCTAAGGGACTGGTCTCTAACCCCAGAGCCACACCCTTACCCCACTTGGGAATCAGCTCTCAGTCTCCTGTGACCTCCTCAGTGGATAACCTCCTTCCTTTAAGGTGGGGCTCCTTAGCACGACCGCGTGCTTCATGCTTCTCAAACTGTCTAACTTTGTTCTTCTAAAGAAACAACTGGGGGTTGGGGGGCTGGAGAGATGGCTCAGAGTTTAAGAGCACACAGACAGGTCCTGAGTTCGATTCCCAGCAACCAGCAACCACGTGGTGACTCACAACCATCTGTCATGAGATCTGGTGCCCTCTTCTGGCATGGAGGCATGGAGGCTGAACACTGTGTACCTAAGAAATAAATAAATCTCTAAAAAAAAAAAAGCACTCGGGAGCAGAGGCAGACCGATCTCTGTGAGTTCGAGGCCAGCCTGGTCTACAAGAGCTAGTTCCAAAAAACCAAAAAAAAGGAAAAGAAAAGAAACAACTGGGGCCCGCAAGATGGCTCAGCAGGTAAAGGGGCTTGCTTCCAAGTCTGATAGCCTGAGCTTGATCCCCAAAACCTACATGGTGGAAGGCAAGAACTGATTCCCACAGATTCCTCTCTGACCATCACATACATATTGTGGCACTTGTGCACATACAAAAAGAATTGTTTTGTTGTTTTGTTTAAGAGAGTCTGACTGGGTGGTGGTGGCACATGCCTTTAATCCCAGCACTCGGGAGGCAGAAGCAGGCAGATCTCTGTGAGTTCGAGGCTAGCCTGATCTACAGGAGCTAGTTCCAGGACAGGCTCCAGAGCTACCGCAAAACCCTGTTTCAAAAAAAAAGAGAATTTATGAAAAAGAAAGAATTCTCCATGTTGTGCTGGACCTTGGATCTTGCTAATGATTCCTTTGGTTCTCTCATCTCCTGACTCCTGAAACCAACTGGCACCTGCTTAGGAAACAGGTCTCACTACAAGTGTGCTGTAATGACCTAGTGTCTTACAGAGAGAGCAGAAAGCAGGACAACTCCCAGCCCCAGCGACCTGCCCT